TTTTTTTCGAAGAAAAAATTTTTGGTTTCCTTTTTTGGTAGTTTTTTCAGACGCAGATTTGTTTGGGAGAGAGTTTTCTTAAATATAATTTTTTTTAAAAAATTATTTAATAAATAATATTATTAATTTTAATAAAAAAAATTGAGTGCCAGTTTTTTTGTTCCAAACTGTATATATAATTGCTTTTTTGAATATTCCGTTTGTTTTTTAATTATAACCTGGTTAAAAACTTATAAGCTATAATAGAAAATAAGATTAAAAAAGCATTTATATTGTAATATTTGATGAAATCATCACTTAAAGCATTTTCATATTAATAATTGTATCAGAATAAAATAATAATAATAATTTTATTTTACAGTAAGTTGAAAATGATAATATAATTATTGTAGTTTAATATGTCGAAGCATTTAAAAAAATTATGTCACAAAAATTAATTGTCAATTTTTTTCTGATGCTGTATTTGTATGTTTGTGATCTGCTGAAGAGTTTTCTAACAATATTTTTTAATTATAACAACAGTATTTGTTACACAACAAAAACATTTGTCATTTCGATAATAATAGCCTATATGTTTTTTTTACTGAAACTGGATTAACAGTTATCCAATGGTGTTGTGAACATTCAAAATATTCAAAATGGAACGATGCAATTTTACATTGTACAAAGTAACACGGGTCTTGTTACACCGCTCGACAAAAGTTCTTTTTTTGTAAATATGAACGCATGTTTTTCTAAACGAACTAATTGTTACGTAGTTGTCGCCACCTTTTGACTGAAAAGCTAAATCGTACTGGTTTCTTCTCATCAGTGAAATTACCCATGGACGGACAGAACGATTCTGTCCTGAGCTGGGACTCAAATAAAGTACATAACTGGCTCTCTTCTCTTGGCTTTTCTGAATATGAATCGCAGATAAAAGGTTTGACCATCGCAAAATCTTTGTTGCATTTTTCGCTTTTCTCTTTGCTGAATTTGAAGGAATTGCATTTCAGAGCAAGGCATAAGTGGAGATATATTAGTTCATTTGGACCATTCAGCGCTCAAAGACCTCGGGGTTCATTCGGTTGGTCATCGGGTTGCCATAATGAAGGCCGTCTACTTTCTTAAGATACAACACAATGTACCGGTAGAACTGAGAGACTATACACCACCATGTCAGTACACGTTACTTCCTTGGCTTATTAATTCTTGAAAGAAAACTATTATTAACAAGTATTATTTGTTTGAAATAGCTGCAGCATATGAAAGCGTATTTATGTTTACTTAAAAGTTCTTCGCTTCCAAATCAACATAGCTTTACCGGATAATAACATTTATTAATCTTCCTTAGGCAATGAATGATGTTAATGGAATTCCGGACCTTCGTAAAATTGAAAATGCATTCCAAGAGAGAGGCATGTATTTTCATTATCGTAAGAATGCAGAGCTTAATAAAATCTCATAATCTTTATTGGAAAACATACAGATGCATTGATTTCGCGTTTGTCAAAAGAGGTGCAAAGGCTATCGTCCGAGTTAACTAAACTACGCGAAGAATTGATACCAATTTGGAAAATGTTTAAGGAAAACAAGGTATTCAAAAAAAAAAATATGCATCTTTCCTAGCTTTGTATCTTTTATACTATGTAATTACTAAAATTTATTCACTATTCGAAAATTCCCCCCAAAAACCACAGCCATTACCCGAGCCAGAACGGAATATTTCCGTGAATGGTTTTAATGGGTCAAACCTTTCCGTGCAGGTTCCTAGCATAAGTGTAAGACCAGCTGCATACTCGGAATGTTCGAGCGCACCGCCTTCTCCTCATTCGCCACGCGATGTTAACAGCAACAACCGTAACAACCGTTATTATGACCATGATGTAAGTCATTTTTATATTAAGTCAGTGTTTGCGCCTATTTTTTCACATATTAATCTTACAAACCACAATAGTCGAGATCGAACCAATATGTACCCCAAGTTTCGATCAACGATCCTTCGGGAGGAACCTTTAAATTTAATACAAATCGAGAGGCCGAATCGTAC